GATGTGCCTGTCTCCTTGCACCGCTTTGGGATCCCAAATAAACTTTGTTTGCTTCTCCCCCTGGTGTGTTTATTGGCGCGAAGCACACCGGGCAACGGACCCGCTGTTGCTTTGCCTCGGGCACTCTGCTGGCAACAGGGGCAACTGGGAATCTCTCTCTGAAATGTGACTGTAACCCACTGGGAAGTGTATGTTACAGGCCCCCCAGTGTGTCTATCCACACAGGGTATGAGTTGTTACAGCCCTCAGCTACTGCACCTTGGCTCAAGCTGTAGTAATTCCTACTTTTAGCTCTGAAGGTCGCTCAATCAATCCCCATTGTGTTGACAAGATGACGGCTGTCACATAATTACCTCTTAAAAGTGTATGCAGTGCCTCCGTAGGGCACTGGCATGATAGCCCCTGGAGACTGGACGCATCTGCCTCTCCCCACTACAGCCTCAGCAGCAGCACTGCCAGCTTCCCTCAGGCTGATTTCTGCCAGCGGTGTCCCCTATAAAGCACTTTAGGGTGAGGGCCTGTCAGAGTTCAGCCTCGACAGCTTAACCACTGCTTGGCCTGTCTACAAAGACTGCCAGTGGAGGCTCCAGTTAGTGCCAGTGGCGACCCAGGCACCTGGGCCCTGGTAACTGACCTGAGACCAACTCATTTCACCTGGCCCAGCAAACAGCCAACGACTTGTGTTCACGACCTGGATTGGATTTGAGTCAGTGGCCTAGAAGTGAGTTCCAAGTTTTGAGCCTTCCACTTCCTCTTGGAAACAGATATTCAAAATTAGCTATGGAAGCTTTCAAATCAATCCTCTTCCAGTGAGAACCAGCCTTTGGCCTTCCAACTGTGCAATGTTCAGGACCATTACCTTTGCGGGGATGGGAGGCTTTTTCAGTATAGTAATGCTTCACACTGCTATAGTGCCTTCCACTCAGGGATCTCAAAACCCTTTACAAAGCATAAGGAAGCCCTTATGACAGCCCTGTAGGGGCAGATCAGTATTGTTCCCCCCACTTTATGGATTATGGGAAACTGAGGCACCGAGCAAGTAAGCAACTTGCCCAAGGTTGGATAGTGAGTCAGTGGCAGAGCTAAGAATAGAACCCAGTTATCCTGACATTACAGTTGTCTTTTTAATAAATAACAGATAGTCATTGCTGAAGTTAGTTCTCATCCATATTGATAACCTCTAAATATGTACAATAACCTGTGTTCCTGTCTTCACAGCCATCAGTACACCAGTGGGTACTACCGAGTGTCAGCATACTTCTTTGCTTTGATGATTGGAGACCTTTTGCCCATGAGAACTCTTCCAGGCATTATCTTTTCATGCATAAGTTACTGGATGATTGGTAAAAAACTGATACGTTCACTTAACCACCCCTGCCCCGCTTTGTTCTTGCATAAACACCTTTGATATCTTGAATCTGAGCCGTCCATGCTTATTTCTACAGCTAAGCCACACAAATGGTTTTTTTTAAAAAGGGGGAGGTAGTGCCTCCAGCGTCCCTGCACAGACTGAACTGTGCGTGTGTTTAGAGGCTGTTAAATGCAGTCTGATATACAGGAACAATTCATGGGGTGAAATCTAGCTGGAAATCCTACTAGAAAAAGGCCAGCCAGCAACAGGAATGCAAGGTGAAGCTGGCTACCGACTCCCAGTAAACTTACTTTTCAGTTTTCATCTCCTGAATTCCTGGCCATCTGGCTTCTGCTTCATTGCAGCCAACTCTAAACTCTCTTGCTCCTCGCCTGAGCAAGTGTCTTGCTACCATGGACAGGGTTCTGAGGGCAGCTGCGAAGGTTTTGTAACCCAGCCATTCACCGGACCTTTCTGTCTCATGCTGTTTTGACAGGTTATCAGGCAGTAGCAGGACGGTTCTTTTTCTTCATGCTGACACTGGTGCTAGTATCCTACACCGCTACGGCCATGTCTCTGGCTATCAGCGCTGGGATGAATGTGGTGGCCATTGCCAATCTGTTTATCACTATTTGCTTTGTCTTCATGCTTGTGAGTACTGTGTGCGCGGCTGGGGGGAGAGGGGGTTGCATGGAAGGCAGATGTGGATTGACTGAGCACTAATGGAAGTGAGGGATTAATAGGGGTGGGGAAACTCTGACAGTCTTGGCCCTTGCCCATACACAATGCACCTCAGTCCTGACCTCCAGCACCCTCTGTCACTGCAGTCCGAGATCACACACACAACTCTACCAATGCATGTTAGTTCTGCCCTGCAGCTCCCCCAGCTATTTCAGTACTAGACCTAATGCTGCCAAATGCCTGTGGGCCTCAGCACTGACCTGCAGTACCCCTTGCCCATGTTATCAGGCCCAACATAGCTCTGCCAGTGCACCACTCTCCTACTGCACCCTCTACTATTCCCATCCTGTCCTGCAGCCAGTGTACCGCATCCTAACCTGCTGCTGCACCTTTAGTCATTCCGGTCCTGGGCCTTCCACTGCTCTACAATGCACCTTAACCCTGACATGCAATGCTCCCTGCTAGTCTAGTCCCAAGCACACCATACCAGTGCAATTCTGCTGACCCACAACTTCCCCTGCTATTCCAGTCCTGGCCCATCAAATAGCCCTCCCAGTGCACACAGTCAATAGCCTTCCTTCTGGGAAAGAAAGCTACTGAGGCTTGTGGCTCCATGATGTGAGTGTGTGCATAACGAGGACTGGCCTGAGTGAACCAGGCTCCTTTTACTGCTCACCCGGGACCATATTCACCAGTGGCATTAGTGGGTGCAAGTCTGCTTACACCAAAATTCAGTGTCTCAAATAGAAGTAAATGTTTTCATGATTTCTTTAACAACTTCAGTCAAGGGAGTTTAAAAACAAACCCCTCTTCCCTGCACTGCAGGCAGCCTGGACAAATAGCATTGTGCCAGGTCACGGGGAAAAGACTTGAAATAAGCTCTAAAGGGATGTATTTTGTTGTGCCAAATGCTGCACGTAGTCTGAGGAATGGGGACATTCACCCCCTCATTTATGCTTTGGCTCTGGTTTGCTTTTGGCTTTCACCATTAACATGTTTCTTCCTTGGCTACATTTCTTCAAGACTTGGGTGAGTTCTACCAAGTGAGTGAGAGTTTAAGGCGGAGGTGATGGGTATTTAACTCCTATAGTTCTACAGGTATAGCCTGAAGTGTGGGTACAGTTTGATTGGCATGCAAGTGCCGTTTTCCCAGACGGGATGGGGAATAACCAGTATAAGGTACACGTATACCAGTACAGCTGCATCCACCCTAGAGGAAGCAGTGTTGCTTTAACTGTACTGGTATAGTTAAAGTGAGACAACTCTTGTGTGTTTCCAAGGCCTAAAAGTGTATGAATTTCTGTCAGTGCGTGAACGCATGACAGCCTCTTTTTTTCTGTCATTTCAGATCTTTTCTGGCCTGTTGGTGAACCTTCCTTCTGTGATGGGATGGTTGAACTGGCTCAAATACTTCAGCATCCCCAGATACGGCCTCACGGTGAGTAGAAAATGTTATTCTGAAATGAATAAGATGCTCAAGGTGTCACTTCCTGGAGAGGTTTTTAAGGTGAATAAAGTTATTTTGAAAGTAATTGCTTAGGACTCTTTTTTTAATTTTATGAGTTTATATTTTCATGAAAGGTGTTGGGTTGGAAGCTCTGGGGAATGAACTCCTCTACTGAACCACAAAATGGGTACCACATGGGCAGCAGCAGGGAAATCACCCTATCCTACCACCCACCCATGGGCTTAGTCCCTAGCCTGGAGAGACCGTCTCTATGGGTGAGAGGGCAGTTCAGTAGTCCATGGCCTGATAGCAGAGACAGCCAGGGAGGTGGCCAATGTGTGGTGGCACTTTATGTGATGTGGGACATCCATCTATATTGTTTGTATGGTGCCCATTACCACAGTGTCTGAGCACCTCACCATCTTTAATATATTTTCTGTGGGAGGCAGGGCAGTGCTACTGCCCTAGCCACCACACCATCTTCTCTTCCACTAGGAACCTAGTTGGGACACCCAGCCCTGTTCACGTAGAACCTCAGACACCTTCTCAGAAGGCTACAGCCAAGGTTTTCAAAATCGATGAGTGATCTTGGGCCCCTCAGTTTGGGTGCTTAATGTGAGACACCTGAAGGGGCCCTGACTTTCAGAGGGCGGGTGCCCAGCACTTTGAGGTATCTCACATCAGGTACCCAGAATCACTAGCCACTCTTGAAAATCTTGGCCGTTCCATTTGGACATTACCTACTTAAATTGGATTTGAACTAGCGAGCTGAGCTGAGAAGCAAACTCTGTATGTTTGCCAGGCGTAATTAGCCACAGGGAAGAGAGACACCCACTATAGTAAAGTGTAGCTTTTCACCCAAATCTGAATATCCTTCCTGCATCATCAGGCGTCGCTTAGGGCAATAATAACGCTCTGCCGTCCCAGTCTGCTGTGCTGTTTGCTAGAACGGCTCCCTTGCTGTGTTTCAGTAACTTAACTTTTTTTCCCCCCTGAGGATAGGGTGACCAGACGTCCCGATAAAATCGGGACTGTCCCAATATTTAGGCATTTGTCCCGCATCCTGATATTTCACGGCACTCCATCTTTTTTTTTTTTTTGTCTCTGCCAGTCGAACCCCCCCCCCCCCCCCCCACTCCATATGTCCCGATATTTTCTTCCTCTCATCTGGTCACCCTACCTGAGGATAGGTTTTTGGCCTATCAATGAACTCCCAGCCAGGAGGATCAAAAACTGATCTTCTACTGGTCCCTGCCCTTTGACCTGCCCAACTTAGGTGGCCCTACCAGGAGTTAAAATCTCCCACTGGCATAACTCTCAAGGTCATTGGGACACACAGCCCTTCTCACCTCATCAGGGTGCAGCCCCTAGGGGATGTTTTCACCCAAAGTCGAATGTTTACTCAGCATAGCAGGATGATGTTGCAGTATTTTACCTCATTGTGGTGTCTGCTTTCCTCCACAGGCCCTGCAAGTCAATGAATTTAGAGACCTTTACTTCTGTGGTGAGGAACCCCAGAAAATCACTGCGTCCCCCGGGGATGTGGCTGATTGCTCCTCAAATGCTACACAATTTGGAGAAATGTAAGTCTCTAGCTCACAACGGTTCTTGGGCCTCAGTGGGAATGAGTTTCCTGAGGGTGGAGTTTCTACAGCCATTAGTTTGGGGTCACTATAGTGCTCCTGAAAGTAGCTGCTCATCAGCCAGCTTTCTCAAGGAAGCGTCACAGGACACTCACCTCAGCACATTTTGGAGGGCTTATTTGAGACTGAGCAATTTTAGCAAATATAGTTCAGGGGGGAACTGTAGGGTGCCGGCCTGGAACCCCAGCCTAGAAAGGACAAACAACAACAACAACAACATATCCAAACGGACTTTGCCTATCTGAAATTTAGTTTTGGTAGCCTGCCATGGCTTATCTTTATAAAGGATATATTTTTTTTAAATCCTAACGTTTTCCCAGAATGGGGGTATATCAACAACAAAAGGGAGGCTGTGGAGTTGTCATGAGAGGTTAAAAGGTGCCCATCTAAGATGGTTTAGGAAGAATGAAATCATCCCTGGCATGATACAGAAGAACAGGCTGTATTACCTCATGGTAGGACACGTCAACCCAAATGAGTCAAAAAGATATGGTACCAGCTTGAACTGTTTTGACCCTGGATACAGTGAGATGTGACGATTAAAGGGTCACTGTGCTGACACATTAGGTATTGCTGGCACTCTGAAGCCATTACAGGAGGCAAAGAGGTCTAGAGGATAGGAAAAGTGGGAGTCACAAGACTTGGGGTTGTATCCCAGCTCTGTTACTGACCCACTGTGTGACTCTGGATAAGCCTCAGTGTCTGTTTGGGGAGAAAATGTCTCTGCAGAACAGAAACAATAGTAGCCACCTTTGTAAAGCACTTGGAGATCTCTGGCAGAATGTGCTAAGTGTCACTATTAACATCTGTCCCATGTCCCCCTGCAGGTGTTATGGTGAAACATATCTGTGCAGCCAAGGGATTCCGTCTACCAACTGGGCCATGTGGGAAAACATAGTGGCTCTAGGCTGCATGACTGCCATCTTCCTCCTGATAGCCTATGGGAAACTCCGATTCATGAAGAAGTTCACCTAGCCTCACCCTCACTTTACTCTGTGACTTACCTCAGGACTTGGAACTGCAAAGTTTGTCAGGCCCATGCTCATTGAAAACCAATGAAAGATTCAGTGCCCACTTGTCAAGCGCAAGAAATATCTATTATGTAATCATGAGTAACATTTTTTACCTTGTCTATAGTTAAATTGCTGGCTATTTTATTGTAAGAAATTGTTAGAATATGAAGTTCTCTTACACACTTCTGTAAAAGTGCACTCTAATTTATATAACTTCATTATTCTGTGGCCACTGTCTGCAGTATCTCAGGAAAACATATTTAAACATATAAATTAATATGAACCAGATTTCATTTTGGCAATCATCTTTATTCTGTCCATCATTGATATATAATGACTGTTTTTCTGCACTGGTATCGGGTTTTTACTAGCGCCTATTGGATCACAATAGAGGCCTGTTCTATGAGGCGCTTCAAGATTTAAGACTAGAAAACATTTTGAATTGCCTTGCTTTGCAAACTGGGCATGGTGCAGATTTTATCTCTAGTAGCACCATAACATCGGAAGCTTTCCCCATACCAAAATCAACTCTCCTCCCAAAAGGTAAAGAAGAAAGATCAGCTATGTAGGACCTGCCAAACACGAACAGGCTCATGGTCCACTAGTGTGGTCTTTCTCAAGCTGTGGGTCTCAACCTCAGGCGGGCTCAGAGTGGGCTGTGGAATTTAACATTGCAGAATTGGAATTTTTCAACAATAAACAAATGTTATGCCTAATTCTATACATATAGTGAATAGCTGCAACCAGTAAGTCATGTACATCGAATGTTACCATAGCAGCACTGAAGATTCTGCAGTTATTTCTTTTCTGAGTATAGTGAAAGAGTGCAAATACAAATTGCTGACACAGACTAACATGGCTACCACTCTGAAACCAGTGCAAAATCTGATACCTCTGTGTGATACACTGGTAAATGTAAAAAGAACGAGTACTTGTGGCACCTTAGAGACTAACAAATTTATTTAGACATAAGCGTTCGTGGGCTAAAACCCACTTCATTGGATGCATGCAGTAGAAAATGCATCCAATGAAGTGGGTTTTAGCCCACAAAAGCTTATGCCCAAATAAATTTGTTAGTCTCTAAGGGGCCATAAGTACTCCTCGTTCTTTTTGCTGATACAGACTAACATGGCTACCACTCTGAAATTGGGAAATGTTTATTTATAGAGGGAACCACTGTCTCAGAGAGTATCTTCATGCAGCGTTAGCTTAAGTTAACTTCTCTCAAGTGAGCCTAGCTCCAATGGAGCAGACACGCTGCCAAACAACACTTGAGCAGCACAGCGTGATTAGGTTAGCAGCACAGAGAAGCTGCATTGCTAGCTCCAATGCCAGCAGCAGTGGAGCTTCAGCCCACCCCCTGACAGGCCAAGCTAGCTTGAGTGTAAAGCACCACTTCACTCGATCTACAGACTTTTGTGTGTGGGCCTGACTCAGGTTAGAACAGGGGTTTTCAAACTGGGGGTCAGGACCCCTCAGGGGGTCACAAGGTTCTTACATGGGGGGGGGTCACGAGCTGTCAGCCTCCACCCCAAACCCCGCTTTGCATCCAGCATTTATAATGGTGTTAAATATATAAAGAAGTGTTTTTCATTTATAAGGGGGGGTCGGACTCAGAGGCTTGCTATGTGAAAGGGGTCACCAGGACAAAAGTTTGAGTACCACTGGGTTAGAGGCAACACTGGAGTTACAGCTCAAGCTAGTGCTGCAGCAAAGACAACCCTTAGTGTCTAAAGATAAGCATGTGCTAGTCATAATATGTGGCAGGCAGAGAGCACTTGTCAAGATCACAGTTGAACCCAATGGGGAACTAGCCATGCTAACACCACAAAACATGAATGCTTCTGTTTTTCACTTTCAGATAAGGAAGGGCCCCTGCTAGATCTGAAACCACAATTCCTGGCTTTTCACTTCCTCAGCAGCTTTGAATTGTTGGTACAAATGTTGGTGTTTACTAGGTTTGTTTAAATAACTAAACAATGTTGTCTGATACTTAGGTTTGTGATTAGTCTTCTTGCTTTTAAAGTTATTATAAAAACATTTTAAAATGTGTTGTTTGCTGGAAAAAGACACTTTTTAGTAGTACAGGGGCATTAATTAACATGTTCATAGCTATTTATATTACCGTCTGGCCCCAACTGAGATCAGTCATTGTGCTAGGTGCTGTACAGGTGGGTAGAAAAAGGTCAGTAGAGCCTGGTTGGTGATGGTTTTAACACCGCCAAGTGTCACATCAACCGCGCCTCCATCTAAGCTGGGCGTTAGGGCACCGCCAGGGTCGTTGAAGGAACACAGCCAGCAGCGTGGTTCCCTCCACCAGCATGAGGTGGAGCTTTCTTCGGGGTGAGCCCCATAGGGAATGGAAATAAAGCTTTCGGTGGTTTTAAAATGGTCTGGCAGGAGAGGTGCCCTACCACATCCCCCTCACACCAGGTGGACATTAGCATCCCCGGCATGGGGGACTAGGCTCCCGGCACCTGAGGCCCCGCCCGGGACAACCAGGGCCCCTCCGGTCGCCAGTGCCACCCACGTGCGCAGAAGTATGTGACAGCCGTGTCTGTGCGCAAGCGCTATGCTCCCGCGCCTGCGCAGTAGGGAGCAGGGGCGGGGCCACGCTTGGCGAGTTCGGGGGAACGCGGAAGCGGCCGGGATTTGTCTATCGGAGGGGGGCCTGTCGTCATGGCAACCGCCGCCGCTGCCGAGGGTCCGCCGGAGGCCCGGGTGCAAGTAGCCAAACGTAAGGGAGAGGCCGCGGGGAGCCTAAGACCCGCGACCCCTCCCCGCGACCCCGCCCCAAGCTGGGGGCCTGGAGCTGTGACCCCCGGGTGCCGCGCTGCTAATGTGCCCCCACCTCCCAAGGGGGCCCTGGGCCCAGCTGGCCCCCAGCCCCTGAGCGGAGCCCCTGGCAAGCTGGTGCTGTTGCCCTAGCAGGGGTCTCAGGGGTTCGGCCTCTGCCCAGGAGACCCCGCAGAGTTGGGGTCTGGTCCCCCCGCACACCCCAGGCTACTAGAGGGGCCAGAGCGCCCATCCCAAAGGGACCCGCATTTGTCCATTGGCCTTAGTGACTCCTGGGGCGGGAACGGGGCACCCCCCAGAGCTCTCAGTTCACCCGTCACCTGTGGCAGGTGTGAGCCAACCGGGTGGCATCGCTCTGTGGCCAAAAGACCAGGGTCTCCATCCCCTAACTGAGCAGGGGTTGTTTCAACGGTGATGGGCTGCGGTGCTGGCTTGGCTGATTGTCCTTCACTAGGCTGAGTTAGTCTTATTCCCCACACGCCGCGCACCCAGTCATACATAATGTTAAACCTTCCAGAAGTGGGTGATGGCACCAGTCTTCTGTCACAGGCAGCTGGTGCTGTTTCTCTCTGTGTCTCACATGTGACTTGCTGCAGCCTTTATTTGGCAAATATTCCTTGCTTACAATGACACTGAGAAGGATGAAGCATCAAGAGGGAGAGGAAAATGTCTTCACTTAGATGGGCAGCCTATGGTTTTGTCATGAAAAGCTATTCCAGGCTAATAAGACTATCAGTTCTTCGCAGAAGGAACTGATGCTTACTACGGTAACCATTTATATAGCATGCAAATTATCATCACACTATTCCAAACATAGAGTAAGTCTGGTTCCCTGCTCCAAAATGCATATTGCCTATGGGCTTGATCCTGCAGTATGCCAAGCTCTTCCAGGAGTTGCTAAGTGCCCTCAGCCCCTAGGTAAATCAGGTGGAGTTATGGGTGCTTGGGCATATCTCAGAATCAAGCCTTGTAAAGAAAATACAAGCAAATACAGAGCAGAAGAAAACAACTCCAATTAAGCAGTGGAGAGATTATTTGTGGGAAGAACAGAAGGAATGTTACAAAGGGATTTGAAGGAGAAGAAAAAGTTTAGTGGACAGGACTGGGGGACTGTTGCAGCACCTTCTGAAGGGGACTTAGAGAACAGTTCTCAATCAGTGATCAAAGATGAAAAAAAATGACAGTAGGCACAGCCAATAGAAATGATCAAACTCAAAGATCTTTCCTGAAATCATTGTCTTCACATCATCTAATCTTTGCCAAGGTTAATTTTTGCCTTTGTAATAATAAGGTAAACTGGAGAGACTGTTAAATCAACTTTATGCTATTTTACAGATAACTTTGTGGGTTAATTGTTTATTAATCTAAAATGTACACCCTATGTTGAAAATAAATGTAACAAAAAGATCTGTGTTGTTTTTACAATCTTTTGTGAACTTCAGTATTTGACTAATTTTCCCTTACCTCTGTACTGTTCATTTATAACCTGATTAGAGGATCCTGCTGTGGAGACAGCGGAGGAAGCTAAGGAACCAGCAGAAGCAGATATCAATGAGCTTTGTAAGGATATGTTTAACAAAATGGCCACTTACTTAACAGGTGAACTGACAGGTAAGGCAAACTGTGAAACTAACAAACCTGGCTAGCATGGAGATAAACTGTTTAAAAAAGGAAATATGCTGCTTAGTGTTTTAGGGCTTGTCTACACAGGGACACTCAGGAAAAGTAATCCGAATTAATTAAGGTGTGAATTAAAAGGGGATTAGTTAAACTGCATTCAGCCCCTGTGTGGGCAGAATTAAAGTGGCCTTAATATAATTTGGTGGTTTTATGTACACAAGCAATTAGACCATGGCAAGCTGGGATGTGAATCCACCTTGCACTAGCCTGCCCCAATCTAACTGTCCACATGCACCCTGCTGATGTGCATTAATAGTTCATTAATGTTCTTTGAGCTAGTCCCATTTCAAAGAGGACGAGATCAAAGTGCTCTAGCGAACTGTTAACGCATGTCAGCTGTCAGCGGGGTCACACGGGCAGTTAGATGGCTGCCACTTGGATCATGTGTTGAGATAGAACATCAGAGCATCTGAATGAAAAGCTAAAGAGGACCCCAGATTGATGTGCCTTTTTATCTTTCAAAAAGTTTTTAGTGCGGTACTGAATCAGGTTAACTATTTCTTCTTCTGAGAGCTTGTCTGTACGAACACTTAATTTGTGGCAAGGTGAGGTGTAAATCTATTTCTCTGTAGCCTGCCATGCACTAAGTGCCTGTATGGACACTGCTGCCACGTGCTAAAAGTTCCCTAGTGTGCTTTAATCTGTTCCCTAACTCTGTACGCATCTATGCTAAAATGTAGCTCCTACTGATGTAACTCGCCCACTTCACCGACTTAATAACTCCACCTCCACTAGAGGCATAGTGCTTAGGTCGATGTAGTTAGGTCGATGCAGTGTCAGTGTAGACACTGCGTTGCTTACATCGACTGTTG